ACTACAGCAATACTACATCACTACTACAGCAATACTATTTCACTACTACAGCAATACTACATCACTAGTACAGCAATACTACCTCACTACTACAGCAATACTACCTCACTACTTGAGGAATACGCAGCTGTATGCATTGATTAAATGCCCCGCCCACAGGTCAGTATGGGTCAGTCTACAGACGTCCTGTCGTTGGTCAGTCTGTCCAGCCTGCAGTCTGTAGCAGCTGGGGTGTTCCAACATGGCGGCGAAATGCTGTTTGATGCCCGGCAGTTAAACAGCAGTGGACTCGCTGGCCCCCTCTACTGGAGGCTGCCCCCCCATGTTGAAGGAAACCAGGTAAACCCCGCCTCCTGTTATAGTTCCAGCCTTGTTGCTAATATTATTGGTCCCTTCTATTGGAATATTCATCATTTTAAAGGTTTTTGTTGCTCTTCCATTGGAAACATCATAAATCAAAACCGATGAACAGTCAGTAAGAAGCAGTCTGCTAAAGATAAACAGCTGTTAAGGTCTTACCGTCAGAAAGGCAAACTTTAAACTTTAAGGTTTATTAGGAAATATTTATTATTTTAATAGATGATGCTTCCTGCAGAAATTACCTCTCTATATCTGCAGCTGCAAACTTCCTCAGATCTTCATCATCCAGAGTTTATTCATCTTCTTTCTAGATCTAGAACCAATAGATGTCCCTCCTCCTTCAGCCTCTCAGGCAGGATTTTATCTTCAGTTTTTTTCTGTTGTGTATTTACCAAAGTACATTCCTTTGTGTTTATCGTAGTACCTGAGTGTAATTCGGTGTATTTACCATTTACGTATTTACTGAAGTACCTCTCTGACTCTGTGCAGCTGATGTCATATGGCGGCCTGCTGTCTTACATCATCACTTTCTATGCTGAGGATGGCTCAGGACTGTCCAATCAGGAGCCTCAGATACTCATGAGGGGCGGGACCCTAAGGAAGCACGTCATCTACACTGACATGGTTGCTCCTAGCAACGGCATTGCGACACAGCATGACATCAGGCTGATGGAGGTAGGGCAGCAAAGCATCCTGGGAGGTTTTTTAGAAGGTCCCTAATTCTGGCTGGTTCTGGCTGGTTTTGACTGGTTCCGGCTGGTTCCGACTGGTTCTGGCTGGTTCTGACCGGTTCCGACTGGTTCCGGCTGGTTCCGGGTGGTTCTGACTGGTTCCGGCTGGTTCTGGCTGGTTCCGGCTGGTTCTGGCTGGTTCTGACCGGTTCTGACTGGTTCCGGGTGGTTCTGACTGGTTCCGGCTGGTTCTGGCTGGTTCCGACTGGTTCTGACTGGTTCCGACTGGTTCTGTTTTACAGCACGAGTGGAAATATTTCAACTCGGTGTCTCAGAGGTCGGTGAGCCGTGCAGATTTTATGTCCGTCCTCAGTAACGTCCAGAACATCCTGATCAAGGCTTCGTACGGAACTGGGCTGCAGCAGAGCAGGTACCTGCACACTACTACACAGCACTACAGAGTACTACACAGTACTACACAGCACTACACAGCACTACAGAGTACTACACAGTACTACACAGCACTACACAGCACTACACAGCACTACAGAGTACTACAGAGTACTACAGAGTACTACAGAGTACTACAGAGTGCTAGAGAATACAAACACTGCCCTGAAGTTCAGACTCCATTTCACTAACCCAGACATCTTCCTTCTTCTTTCATGGAGGATTTCTAACATCACCATGGAGACGGCTGTGAAGGCGGAGTCAGGTGACTCCCGGGAAAAGGCCAGACTGATCGAGTCCTGCCTCTGTCCGCCCGGATACGCCGGACTGTCCTGTCAGGTAGGGTTGATCTAGCTTCCTTCAGCAATCATCAGGAGAGTCAGAGATTCTCATTATTTTATAGTGTCCAACTTTAATGTTTATTACCCAGTCCAGTAGGGGTCGTAAATATGTCATTTAATCAGATATTATTTTTATATTGTCTATAACCAC